GAAATAAAGTCGGTACTTTTAAATGAGTTTTTAAATATGACATAACAAAGTTCGTCGGCTGCTACTGTTTTTATTTCTTCGTCAGGTAAGTAAAAAAACGGTGGATTTTGTGGCTAAAGAGCTCAATTTCTTGGATAATATATTTTTTTAAATTTTTATAAAGGAGAGTTGTATAAAGAGTTTCAGAAACCATCTTGTGACTTTGAAAATTTTTACATTGTAAACCAAACGCTAAACCTTTAACACACTTTAATACGATATAGATACATATATTATAAATTAATTTGTAGCTTTTTAGAATTTTTCTTTCACCCAACAAGTTTTTGTAATTATTGTTAACTAACTTTTTCTAAGATACGGTAAACGCTAGGAAACAAATTAAAAGCGTATTTTAAAGGCCATTGTTCAACCGTCATGAATTGTTACATACCAACCTTTAGGGCCCATTGGTGACATTGGGGGGTGGAAGTCTAAATTTAGTTCATTACAATTACGTCAATGACCTTCAGCTCTGCTAGTAAGATGCTGTGGTATGGTAGCGTGTCGGGGAGAAGGGTTATTGTTCATGCTTACTCATTCGCTCTTACCCACAAACAAATTTATTTCAAGCCTAAAATGAAGAATGTAGATCTAACTTCTATATTCGTTTGGAAAACGTCAGTAAGAGGCAAGTCTAGACTGTTCCTATGTCTGCGCGGTCCATCACTAGTTACTTTCTTTACTTATTTTTTTTTAAAGCCTATGTGTCGATTATGTATCTTGAGCAATGTAAAATCAAGATGACGTTGTTCAAACTAAGATATAAGTTTGGACTTCCTTATGTGACCAAAATGGTCGCCTACAGAGCAACAGAAGAATCTACAATTTGTTATAAAATTAGTTTTATTGACATTTGCAGACAGTTTTATATAATTGTTTTAAGGAAACCCAAAATCTATTGGCAGTCATAAGTTAATATGATTTGAACTTTTTGCCTTATACCAATGAAATACCATGTGCATATTGGTCCTCTGGTCCTGTTAATACAATTTTTTGAAGGGTTTCTTTTATAATTTAAAACTATATCATTGCACAAGCATTTTCAAGGACTCTCTGCAGTTTTGCGTACTCTTGCAACTACTAATTCAAGAATCAGTTTGATGACCGATTAAAAATAATGTGTTTATACGTTATAAAGATTCAACTGTTAAATATCATAGTTTTTGAGGGTGGGACTGGAAATTTAGACTATATTAAAGATTTGCATTCATAGTAGAACATTATATACTTTAAGTAAACCAACAGAAAAAGATTGTTTAAAATTTTCAAGTTCATTTTAGAACAAACTGTTTGCTCCGCCTCCCAGTTAACTGAGAATTTCAAGAAGTAGAAACATATTAAATAAATAATAAGTGAAGTTAAATATATCCCACAGTGATTTTAAAAAACATTACACAAACTTCACGGATGCCAATATACTTCTAACAACCTTACTAGGAATTTCCTAAAACTGATATTGTACGTTGAAATAGGTTTATCTATCTATCTATTCTATTCTATATTCTATTCTATACTATTATAAAGAAGAGTCTGTGTGTGTGTTTGTATGAGCTAATCTCAAAAAATACTGATCCGACTTTGCTCAAATTGCACACAAATGAAGCTACAACTCCTAGGATACATATAGAACTATTACCGCTTCGATATTCACCTAGGGCTTTGCCCCGTGGGCTTTCAAAAATCTGAGATGAGAGATTTAAAAGTAAATATTGATTGATGGTATCCATGGTAACAAAGAACAAACCTATTAAGTTTAAAAATGTAAACAAGCAGAACTAACTGTCAAATTGATTTTGATTTCTCAATTCAACACAGCTGGTTCAAACCTTATTAAATACTGCACGAATATTAGAACAGAGAGGGTAAGGATTATAAATTTAAAATAATGATGTCACTAGCCTGAATTTATTTAACATTACCTAAAGGAGCTGTCAAACCATATGTTAATGTAATTTCATTATTATAGGATTGTTTCAGTTACAGTACTTCATTTGTTTATGATCTAACTATACTGAGTCTGTTATAATATTTGTGAAATGTTGTAATATTATTTATTTATTTTTATAATAATTCATTTTAAAATAAATCATTCAATGGACATAGGAAATAATCAACATTCTATATTGCCCTATCAACCTAGGCCCTTATCCTGAGTTATGGGGTATATTCTTTTGATTTATTTGTTTGTAAACAGTAATATAATCCCCCTGCCCCAGCAAACCTATAGACTGAGCCAATTCCCGTTTGCCTGATTATAATTTCACTAAAATATGTTAGAAAATTGCCCTATTAACATGTTTGGAACTATTGTGATAGGTTTTCGTTTACAGTGCATACCATTAAACACATTCTTTTATTATAGGTATATGTGTGCCACACTATAGGATACCGTATAAATTAAAAGACCATATTTTCTTAGACCGTTTCCTCTCCCATCACTGCAATGATCATGTTCTACTTATATGCCAACCCCGTACGAAGGTCGGGTATTCTACTAGTTATTAATAAAGTTGAGAATACTAAAGGTTCTACAAAACAAAACATTGAATAATAAAAATACATTTGTATGAAAGTAACAGATAGATTGACAAAATTGTAAAACGATCGTATAATATCTAACAATATCAAATTATTTACAGTATCACGGTTACAACTTTTAAACTACTTTTGTTATGACTCAATGTTAACCTCTTTAGGACCTTTCATTTTATGCTTTTGTTAGTGGGGACTGGTTAAAACACCACAGTAGGTTTTACAAATATGATTGTGAGATGATATTATAATCTGAACTAGATTATGCGTGTTGATAATAATATGTATTTTAATTTAAGTACTTTAATTGATTCGGTTATATGTTTACCTCATATAACATTTGAACATGGATTGAAACATTAGATGTCTTTGGAATACTCTGAGAGTGAGAAGCAAAACATAACTTTCAGCAATGATGCATCGAAATCTACCTTTACTGACTGATTCAGAAATGTAATTGCAAAATATTTTGTCAACATGACTAAAATGTTAAAAAAAATAGATGTATCAGCACGAAATAGTTTGTAAGATAAAAAAAGCAGTCTAGGACAACTTATATAGCGTTTTAACCTCAAACATTGTTATCGTTTCAGTGTAAAAATTCAATTGATACAAAATAATTACGTTACCAATTTATGTTTGTAAACAAAAATCAATTTTTTAATGGTTGCGTAATAGCTATTTACATTACAAGTGTAGTAAGAGCGTTTTTACTTCACGCAGGCGAATGTTGTGCAACGAGCGGAAGCGAGTTGCATAATTCACCTAAGTGATGTAAACAGCACGCTCTTGCGTAACGTGTAACGTACAAGATTTTACCTGACCCGACAATAAACATGGGTTTACGTACAATATTTTTCATTATCCATTTCACTCATCTTCTATCAGTAACGTTCTTTTACTAACAAAAGCTAGGTTAGGTAGGAAAATACTTTAAAGCATAATAATAACATTCAAGCGCACAGCTGATTTCTAGCGTTGAACATCGTTGGCTCCATAGAGTTATATTTTTTAAGTTAAGCACTCAATGTTATTTAAATGGGTTTCTTTACATCACCGAGTGAGTTTTTGATACTTTACATCACTCGAGAAGTAAGGAAGTTGTATACATCACGCTTGGGATAGGGAAGTATAACATGGCGGGTTAGGTAAATCAATTTAAATTATTATTTACTACACAAATTATTTGTAATGTAAAACATTGTTCACCACTCTGAGCAAAAGTATATTATTTATGGTACTTAAATTGTTTTATAGTACGTGGCAGTATAGTATTATTAGTTTATTAGTTGCTTGTTGCACTGTTCTACACACTGCTCAAGCTCTACAGCTCATTAAGTGGCATCCTGTCCACACACTGTTGATATATACTGAATTGTGGCATGGTGCCACTATTTCGAGTGTAGGCTGGCGCGAGAATTGGCAACGTAGCATTAGGAAAGTTATAGTTCCGGCGGACGGCGCGAGGCGCGCTAGCTACCTGTATGATTTCGTGTTCCACAATTCGGTGTGTACCTGCGCTACTTAAACTCACATCAACGAGTTCAAAAATACTCAATTGTGGCATGTGATGTTTAAACGACGTAATAATGCTGGAAAACCTCAAAAATGATCGAATTAGCTGTGGCACCCTGAAAAAGGTGCCACAATTTTTGAAGGTGCCACAGTACGGCCGTGTGCCTGTGAAGGATGCCACTATTCGGTGAATACAAACACACACACACACACACACACACACACACCCATATGTATATGCATTTGAACGGATGGTGTTTTGGCATCTAGGGACCTCAAAACGAAAAAGTAAATCGGTCCCGGGTCTAGGTCTTACCATGAGTACTAAGGTAATAGCTTAATCCCTATATGGGAAATTCGCTAAAATTGCCAACTCACATATATTCCTGAAGTAAGTACTCATAATTAAATCAACGATGCATTTACTACGCAGTACCACATACTATATAGAATCATAGTTAAACATACTCCCATAGAACCAATTACTGTAATGGTCTATTTTCTGTGGACTAACTGAATGTTGTGTTTGTGTACTTCAATAAGTTAGTGATATTTCAGGCAGAAGGATTCAGTGCGAATGTTTCGCAAGTGTCAGCTAGTAAATATTGCGATTTTCTGTTTTTTTTTATGTACCAACTATTTAACGCTGGAACTGCCAATTTGGCCATTTTATGGCCGATCTAGTACCTCCGTGAAGTGCCATCAGTCATGAAATGACTGATAGTATTTTACATTTTTATTCTAGCTTATAATCAACTGTTTTACTTCTATTAAGCGGTGATGTGAAGTTAAAGATGTTGGCTACCCTGCGAACTCACCTGTTATATTTTTTGTTGAGTTGGGATTTGGGATCCAGCTTGCTACTACTACTACTACTACTACAACTACTACAACGTCAACAGTCCAGTCAGTCACAGTGGTTTACTGTTTACTCACTCACTGAAATTTTGTTTTCTACCCTAATTTCTTTCTGCTAGCCTAGCTTAACTAAGTTGTAGTTGTAATTGTATACTAACTTATAATGTAAGTGCCTTTTACAAACAATATCAATTATTTGAGTAATTAAAACGAGAGTAAATTGTTTTACTTTATGATTTTTGATACTAACACATAAAAATAGGGGTACATCGTATAAAAACAAACATTTTATTTTTCTAAGATAAATAAATTCAAAACCAACTTAACTTATTTCCAAAAGATAAATAACATTTACTTCAAAATTTATTCAATGAAACTTCTGTATATTGTGTAGTTTTTATATGACCCATAAAAATGTCTATAGCGAAAAGTTTTTACAGCCCATAAAGTAGTCATAAAATGTGGTTATGTTTTATTACAACACAAATAAAAAAAATATTCTCTGTTTCTTCCTAAAAAAAATTATATAGGCCTACAATATAGATTAAATGTCTTATAAATATTTTTTTTCATTTTTAAACCAAATTAAGTTACTGTAACTAAGTTACTTGTAGGTATGCAAACTGTGGCAGCCAATCTAACAGGCAGTTCTAGAAAAGGGGTGTCTGCCACTCTTTTGAGTGTGCTTCGGAGTATGGGTTAAGTTATTTTGGATCAGTTTAGTTCATAGCATGATTGTAAATTTGTGTTAGATAAAACCATTTGGCAAACTACCTCTAAACTGACTTATCAGATAACTTACCCATAAACCTCGAGCCTACCTCTTCAGCAGAAAGTCTGCATATTTTCGCTTATTTTAAGAACTCTTAACATACTAGATTTTTATGGATTGTTAGCATCTTGGTCGGAAAGAAGGCTCCTATTGATGCTTTTCTATCCATTGTTATTAATGATTCCCAAAAAATTCTGCTTTTCTAAAATATTTTAAGACCACAAAGAGTGATGCTTTTCTATCCAATGTTATTAATGATTCCCAAAAAAATCTGTTTTTCTCAAATATTTTAAGACCACAAAGAGTGTGCCAGCTTAGGAAGATTGTGACATTCTTATCAGTTGTAAGCCCGTCTCCATAGTGTCTGTTTTTTTTTTTTTACAGCAGTTGATCAGATTATAATAAACTTAATTTTGTTATCCATAGAACTATGAGCAGAGAGCAGTACGTGGTAGGTGTGGACGTTGGGACAGGAAGTGTACGAGCAGCTCTAGTTAGATCTGATGGATCCTTTGTCAAAGTTGCTACACAGGCTACACAGACATGGAATCCTGCTCCTGGCTACTATCAGCAGTCCTCCATGGATATTTGGTACTGCTGCTGTAAAGTCATCAAGGTGAGTTCGGTTTACCAAACATCCAGCCTCAAGTGGACCTTGTGGGAAATCCTCTAAATTAAGCTCATCTTAAACATCAAATTAGGAGGCCTATGCCTCTTTGTTTTTATGACATAGTGACATTAAAATAATTACTGTAGGGCTAATGTTCCTAACCTAATGCTGAAAATCTAATGAATGTATTTCCTATCTTTAGGATCTAAGTTTAAATCACCTTTGTTGGGTTGTATAAATCCATTTGGGGTTGGCCATTTTAGGCTGTTATCAACTTAAAAGTCAGTCAGATGTGACATTTAATACCTAGTGTGCACTTTTTGACGAATAAAATGTGGATTGATAGGCCTACTATCTCATCAAACTTTGAAACCATGTATATTTAAAGATCATCATTTTACCAAGATAAAGATGTACAAAAAGGCTAACACGAATATGCCAACGGTCAGATTAGTCAATGATATTGTGTGATCAATGAATCTATAGGCCTATATAGTAAATGAATCTGTATAGTCAATGAATATAATATACTAGTCGTTTATTCAATCCTTAAACAATGAATAGAATATTTTATTGACTTCATCAACAATAATAATCACCCTATAAGGCTTTTAAATCTAATTAAATTGTTCCAAGAGACAACATTGCAGGCTCCTAATTTTGGAGTTCAGAAAGATCTCTACCCAATAGAAAATGTTTTGAGGATCTTATTTAAGCTTTTATTTTTATGATTTCTTATGAATGAATGAGATGAGAATGAGAATGGGATTTTTATTTGCCAGATAATATTCCATACAAATACATTGGCACGTCAAATTATTCATAATATAAAATTTATTAAAATCCAGTGGAGTTCTATTGTGCTAATAATGGCTGATTACAAAGAAAGTTATTTATTTTAATCTTGAAATCCTTAAATCACTAAAATATTCTTATGGCTAGTGGTAACTTGTTATTTACTGCTTAAAATTAATGGTCTTTTGTCAGTCTTAGCAAGTCTAACATAAGGAATATTTATATTAAGGAACGCGGCAGCCTTCCGCCCCGCCAAGTCCCCCAGCGGTACACAGCTGCTGCAGTGTATATATACATGACGTGACAAAGTGGCTTTTTTACTCGTCTATAGCTCTGAAGAAACAAAAGCTATTGAAATAATGATTCGTCTACTGGATGGCACTCATTCTCAACGATCTGTGGCCGTTACCAAATCTTATATAGGCCTATTAAAAAAACTTGGTTTTTCTTTTCCGACTACGTTTGGCTCTTCCACCCGACCGGATTTTCATGATTAAGGTCTCAAATTGAAGGTATGCACGCACAGATTTGCCATCAAGCATCGGCATATATTTATCTATAATCCCACTCGGCTTATATGTAAACAAAATTTGCTCCCCATATATTTCTTATGGGAGTTAAATTTGGTATCTCTTTGTCGAGTTGTTTGGCTCTTCTATCCGACCGATTAACATGATTGAGGTCTCAAATTGAAGGTATGCATGCACAGATTTGCCATCAAGCTTCGGCATGTATTTACAGTAGACTCCCTCTTATCCGGACCCTCGGGACCGAGGCCAGTCCGGATAACGGGTTTTCCGGTTAAACCGATGTCCCCAAAATCTTGTTAAAACGGCCCGTTTAAATGCATACTCTAATCCGTATTTGACTTAAAATTAGGAGAGCATTGTATTTAGGCACGTAATCACTGGTCTCAAATATTTCCCATGAGAACAATCGTTTCAGTAACGCCTACTTCCTGCCGATCTAGTCCGGTTAAACCGATGTGCTAATAAAAATTATCCGGATAAAGATATGTCACTTCTACCAAGTGTAGTCCAGTTAAACCGATGTCTGGTTAAAAGGTGTCCGGATAAGAGGGAGTATACTGTATCTATAATCCCACTTGGCATATACGTAAACGAAATTTGCTCCCCATGTATTTCTTATGGGAGTTAAATTTGGTTTTTCTTTGCTGAGTTCGTTTGGCTTTTCTACCTGACTGATTTTCATGTTTGAGGTCTCCGATTGAAGGTATGTGTGCATAGATTTGCCATCAAGCATCGGCATATATTTATCTATTATCCCACTCGGCTTACACGTTAACAAAATTTGCTCCCCATGTATTTCTTATTTGAGTTTAATTTGTTTTTTTTTTTTTTTTGAGTTCGTTTGGCTCTTCTACCCGGGAGTATTTCATTTGGTCCAAAATCGTTTGGTCCAACACTCTAATACGAGTTCGTTTGGTCCAACAGTATGAACTATTGCGTCCCTCACATTGAAGGCGTTCAAATAATCACCGTCACGTCATCAACCCAACCGCCTGCCTTCCGAGGCCTATTTGTTGTTTTGTGTTATGTTTCTAAATAATTGATACTAGTGTACACATTGCTCGAAATCGAGCAATTGCAAAAAAGTAAAGTAGTTATTTAAAAACAAATAATAGTCATCATAATTTACGATGAGTTTAAAAGACTCATAGATCAACATTTCTTGTAAATATTTTATCATTTTTCAAAAGCTGATCTGGCTTTTTAAATGTTTCCCACTTATAGCCCCATTAGTTTTGTGACGCAAAATTCTAGGGGGGGGGATACACTAGTATTCACATAAGTCAGGCTAGGCCTACCCCTAGAACCGGCCAAACTCAAATTTCTTCCCCGGAGTGCTCAGAAGGAGCAAAAAAAAATCCAGGGGTCGATACCAAGTTGTCACGGCTTTGACTGATCAATTTATTCAAATTTAATCAAAGGCTCAGAGCTCTAGAAGCGCTCAGGAAATCCTGCAGACGCCCAGCTGGAGCTATATCATCCCAGCCTTCGCTAACGTGTTGTGGAGAATTTTGCCCAACTTTTAGAATGACTCTGTAGGGCCAACGAGTATTCAATCTTAAGCCAATGTGATTTAAATACTCGTAATAAATTGTAAACTATCTGGCTAAAGACGGTGGTAGATAATAAAATCGAATCTAATGTAAAAAGCAATTCCTACAGAGTCTTCGGGCCTAATTAATATGGAGAATTTATCGTAGGATGATTTAAAATAGATTTAATATTAATATTCGTGGCTGATGATTGTTCAAATCAGCCTGCTCCCAACACTTGATTCTTTCACCCCCCAAAGACGGGGTTTATAACTTAAAAGACAAGTCTCGGGGTATTAAAACGGTGAAAACGAGAGATATAACTTATACGTGATAATTATTTGTTAAGCAAACAGAGAAATCGTAATTTCGAAACTAATTTACTAAAATTAAATAAACGATCGCCACCGCTAGTCACTGGCAGGCAGGAACTGGCGGGTCAAGACCCAAGTTCAGTTATTAAATTTAGACAATTCGAATCGGGACTTAAAGAAAGCGAAAAGGTACAATAGATTAAAATGAAAATAACATAAAACGTGAAAAGGTCCTAACTAAGTATGCTAGCTAACCTTCGTTCGAACGAGAACGAAGATCGTAGATGCGAGCGTAGAATAATCCTGTCTTTGAGGAAAATCCTTCGTTCCTGCCCTGTTGTGCCCTTAAATATATTAAATTAAAACCATTTTGTTAGAGCCACTTCTTTCATTGTATTTAATAACAAAATCCAAAACTTAAAGTAAACATGAAACAATAATATATCAAACCAGATGACAAGCAAATAAACAAACTATTAATGTAGACCTCAGGACATCTCCCTCTTAAAGTTCTTCTATGAACCTCTTGGCAGGTTTAACAATTCTGGTAGGTCTGTGTATGGTTGAAGAATGATTATGTAGGTTGGATCTTGGTGTATGTGTCTGTCTTGGAGGAAGTGTCTGTGTATGGGGGTTTTCTTTATCAGGATTTTCTCTTTCTCCAGAGGAGAACATAGGGAATAAGAATTTTGAATTCCTGATATATCTTCATGGTGTCTACTCTCCGGGAAATTCGGGAAAACCGGGAAACCTCCGGGAATTTTATCTTACCTTGAAATGTCCTGGAAAACTCCAGGAATCCACCCAAACCTCCGGGAATCCGGAGCCCAGTCATCGGAATCGTCGCCTAACCGAAACACTACCGCTTTTGTTGCCACGATCGCGGGAAACGATTATCGGTGTTGCCGAAACCGCAAGATATGCTCACGGGTATTGCCGCGATCGCGAGTGACGATTATCGGTGTCGCTGAAACCACGAGATATGCCTACGGGTGTTGCCGCGATCGCGGAACACGATTGTCGATGTTGCTAAAACCGCAAGATATGCTCACGGGTATTGCCGCGATTGCGGGAGACGATTATCGGTGTCGCCGAAACCACGTGAGATGCCTACGGGTGTTGCCGCGATCGCGGGAAACGATTATCGGTGTTGCTAAAACCGCAAGATATGCTCACGGGTATTTCCGCGATCGCGGGAGACGATTATCGGTGTCGCCGAAACCACGTGAGATGCCTACGGGTGTTGCCGCGATCGCGGGAAACGATTATCGGTGTTGCTAAAACCGCAAGATATGCTCACGGGTATTGCCGCGATCGCGGGAGACGATTATCGGTGTTGCCGAAACCGCAAGATATGCTCACGGGTATTGCCGCGATCGCGAGAGACGATTATCGGTGTCGCCGAAACCACAAGATATGCCCACGGGTGTTGCCGCGATCACGGGAGACGATTATCGGTGTCGCCGAACCCGCGAGATTTCCTCACGGCTATTGCCGCGATCGCGGTAGGCGATTATCGGTGTTGCCGAAACCGCAAGATATGCCTACGGGAATTGCCGCGATCGCGAGAGACGGTTATCGGTGTCGCCCAAACCGCAAAATATGAATACGGGTGTTGCCGTGATCGTTGACGGTGTGACGTTTTGTCGCTGATGTTGAAGATACTGCAAGATATGCTCACTGATATTCCCACAATCGCGGGAGATGATAACTGGTGTCGCCTTACCTACCAGTTATACTGTTTTATTATGTTGTATAAAATATTATTCTTTGGAAATGTTTTGTTTCAAATAATAATAATCATTATTAATAATAATAATAGCCTAATAATAATC